AATTTTCTGAATTTTTCACAAATGATTCCAGATCTATGTTCACCTTGCCTTTTTTTTTTGAAAAGGCTACTGAATTAACTTTAATCAAATTAATTAATTAAGTTATTCAGTGGCGTAACTAGACCCTCCGGGGCCCGTAGCAAAGTCTTCCGATGGGGCCCTATCGTGGTACTCAATTTTTAATTTATCTAATTTTATTTAATAAACGTTAATAGTCATTTTATACGCTGTTTTACTACTGGCTAAAACAATTTTTAATGAATTTTGTTACAATTAGCAAACCAACTTCGACTAATTTATATTTTATGGCATATTGAAAAAAATTATGAAATTTTTAAAATTATGAAAAAGGTTAAAAAGTAAAGTATTGATTTAGAGGTATAATTATAATTTAGTTGTAATTATATAAAAATAACAAAAAATACATAAAAATTTTTCTTGAAAATCAAAATTTAAATATTACTGAATATTTTCAACATTAGAATAAATGGAAATTAAAATTAAACGTATTTTTTTAATAAAGATTTAAAAAAAAACACTTTCTTAAATTTAATTATTACATAAACTTCCATTAACAATTTCTTTTTTTTACTGTAATCTTTGTGAAAATTTATGATTTAAACAATACCCCTGGTTAGTAACAGTAATAGAAAATTAGATAGATAAATTAATTAGAATGATAAATAACTATTTTTCTAATATCATGTATTTTTATATTTTGTGATAAAAAATTCTTCTTGGGGGCCCCCAAACAAATTTTGATACGAGGCCCCGCGAAGGCGTGCTACGTCCCTGATATTGAGAAAAGAGTTCTTCACGTGTTCGTTTTTTATCTTAAAAGTCGATAACGTTTAAGTTATTATATATACAATAATAAATTCTTTTATTTATTTTTGATATCATATTATATAAACTAAAGATTTTCAAATGCAGATCAATCTCAGCTCTTTATCTCATAAAAGATAAAACACAATTCGCTGAACGGCGGCGACTTCTTTGGTTTTTAACTAACTAAATATTCGGTCGAATGTAAGTTCGATGCAAGCCTGGCTGAATAATTAACTCCGACTTTGAACTTAAAAAATATAAAATATAAGTTTCAAGTAAATTTATGTAAAAATGTATTTCTGAGTCCGCGGTTTCTTGGGCCGGGGCCCCCTTAGGTCGGGGGCCCGTGGCATTGTTATTATAATGTTTTTATTGTATTATTTTCATTTGATTCTGCTCGTTCAATTTTTTTCTATACTTGGAACTTGTACGTTGCAAATGATTCAGCATAGACGTAAGTACAATATGGGGATGATTGGAGACGTAAGGGCAAAGGTACAAAACCTGAAACTAAGTAATTTAAAACTAAATATTATATTGCTTATTAATGCCTTGATATAATTTGATAATAGTGGTTTCAATTTAATTTTTTCCGTACTAAATGCCTTAACATTATTTTAGGGATGATTTGTGACAAAACGGTGGTAGCAATTTTTATAAAAATCAGTGATTTTATGATATTATTATCAAAATTATTATTATTTTCTTTTAACTTCAATACAGGCTTTTTTGCACTATATACCTATCTTCACGAAACATCTTATATTAGGGCGCTTCGGCCGGGTACTGATTTTAGTAGTTAGTTTTGATTTTTTTGGTTTAATTTTGGTGGTACAAATTAGTACAAATTCGAATTAATCAATTTCCGTTTAATTTTATTTATTTTCTTCGAAAACAAAAAGTAGTCTTGCTAGCTTAATATTAAAGCTAGCAGCGCCACGTGTTTTTTTAAACGGCACGTAGTACAAATTTTTTTGTGGTACAAATTAGTAAAAAATAAGTACTAATTAATACAACAGGTCCGGATCGATTTTGCTAATTTGGTCTTGCTAGCTTAAGAGAGGTCGGAAGGCTAGTATTGGCCGTACAATACGCCGCTGGCCTGGATCTAGCCGAAGATGAATGCGCTTCTTAGGAGCGCAACGGCCGCTAAGAAAGGCGGCAATTAAACACATTTAGTTAATTGGCCGATGAGTTATAAAAAGCAATCGAGGCAAATTCAATCTGTGATTCGTAGTGGAATTACGTTGATTAATTTATTGCATTCAAGCTATTCGAAGATTTCCGTCGATAAGAGAAAACGTACATCTTTCGTACAGTAACGATGCGCATGCATAATTAGATGCGTCTACTAATTTATTTTCAGAACGTGATAATTATTTATTCATATAATTATATAATTATTCAAGCAATCAATATATTATGATAAACACAGTAACAAGAGCTATTTGTTACTTTGTATAAAAAAGAAAAATATTAAAAAATCAAGTTGGCAACTAAGTGAATGCGGTTTTTAGTTATAAAATGGAAGATTTTTTTTCATGGAACTACATAACTTTATTCTGTAATCTATTGTCTGTAAGCTTTTTGTCATCTTTTGAGCATCATCATTATTCCACTTTCATAAAACTTCTGGTTTTAATTAGTAAAAAACTGAATCAGGTACAATTTGGCACCATCATAATCATTGAATTGTTTGCAATTTAATGAGTTTTGTAGATATCGATACAAAAAAGTGCAAGGTCAGGGCTGTATGATGGATATGGCTAAACATCCCAGCCAAGCCAAGCACCCTTATTTTTGCCAAATGGTCTAATATATGTGATATCAATAATCGGATAAATCACAGTTGCGATTTGTTGATTTAGGCAGTTTTTCTTGGGCTGCGTTGTTTTATTTTATTAGCTGGTCAATGTAGACATCAGAATTGATCGTTCGGTTGGTAATAGTAAATGTAGACAATTATTCCGTTGTAATCGAATTCAACTGGACAACAGCGTTTTTCTTGTTTCAGTGAAAAATCACCAAAACGAAACTTGGTAAAGCTGTTTTGACACTGCCGTTTTTAAGGCTTTGTCACTATAAACAGAGATATAAAAAAGCAAAATTTGACAAAAAAAATTTATTTGTTTTTTCAACTTTCAAAGAACGCCAAACGAAAACTAAGCAATTGATTAGAATTGTTTTACTGATGGACATCTAAATTGCCTACTATCCAATAAAAAAAAACAATTTACATTGGACTACGCCAGCAAACTTAAAAAATTAATTGAAACCATCTAGCTGAAAACCGCATATACTTTGCCAACCTTATGTATATGCCTATTACATACAAGCGAATGATATTAAATCCATACAAATATATTTTATTTGCACATATTGCATATACAAGTGAATAATAATAAATCATTAGTGCGAATTTGGATTTTGGAACTGGTATTAAATTGATAGATTTTCCAAGATCATAAGTATGCATACTTTTCTACGTTGACGTGTTACCAAAATAAAAACATGCATTATCCTGAAAAAATATCCGAAAATTCTGAGATTGATGAAGTAAACAGTTTTTTCAATAATATCACAATAAGCTTTTTATTCTCGCATAAAAATTACACATAACATAGAACATTTATAACGAAAATATAATAATATTTAAAATATGTACAGTTTTATTAACAATATATGTTCTCTATACAATATTTCAAATGGCAAAAGTTTTCAATTATAAAATTCGCCAGTTGAAGTTTTTCTACGGAATAGGTCAATAAATACTTTAGACACGAATTAACCTCCGTCTTGAGCACGGGGAAATCTATTTGCATTTACGGTACCTATATATCAGTTGGCGTATTTATAGATATTAATTGGAAATACCATCTGCAATCAGAATTTCATTTCCTGTGGCGTGGATAGAGCCCATTTAATTTTATTAATTTAACTTCCACTGCAAATCTATTACCACGAGCGCTGGTAGAAAATTTAGAAAAACGAGTGACCAGATTATAAATTTGAAATGATTTACTGGTGCTCGTCAAGTAAGTGCTGATGCTAATTGAAGTGGTTTATATTATATTCTGCATTGACATTGGCTAAGTATAGATCCTTTACTTCAGTCCTGCTCTGTATTTCCGAAATTTTCCACCAACGCCCATGCTTATTAATAGTTCGTCTCCTTATTTCGTGTCATAAAATAATCTCATCAATCAAGAGGTTTCGCAATTTCTCATTCGAATTTACAAGATTATCTTATTTTTTGTACAAATATTAATTTAAGATTTTGTTGAAATTTAAAGATTTTGTCTTACATTATTAAATATATACATTTTAACACTTATGACTAAGAATTTTAAAAATATGTAACAGTTTTACTTATCATAGTAAAATTATTATACGATTTCTGAGCAGAAATAACTTCTTAATTATATGTCTGAAAGATGTTTTGTTTTTTACGCACAATTTTATTTTTTAATTATTTTATGTTTCAAGAAATTGATAAAAAAAATTCTTTTTTGTTGAAAATATTAAAATTTTCAAGAATTTTGGCTGCAAAACAAACAATATTCAATTATGCAATAAAACATTATTAAAACATCAGATTTTTTTGAATCTTTGTGGTACGGTTACTTCATAAATATGATTATAATTATTTGGAGTATGTATCAAGTTTTTACAAATTAATTCCCTAAATTTTGGAAGTGCGTAATTTTAATCGTTTTCACTCTTCGAACGTCTTTAACTATCTAATAAGGATATTTTTCCGATATGTGAAAATATATTTCATGTAATTGCACTGTAAGCCCTTTCACTATAAGCTATAGTCGATTATAATCTAAGACGATTTAAATACATTAACCTCATATATCTATTTAGCATAAATTTCATATATGTTAAGACTACTATTTACATTTTCTAACGAAATACTATTTGGAACTACTAGTTTTGAGTAATTCTGCGTAGTTTATAATAGAACACAATATCAGTCTTTAATATAATATACTCAAAAGAGGTATATGTTTTCTATTGATAATGAAATATTATTAATATCTCAAAATATACAGAACTAATTCAGTCAAGTTAACCTCCACATCACTAAACTCAAATAAAGTAACACCTCAATGTCTTTCTGGGTAATTTTAGACTTTGGTTGTTGCATCTACGCCATCAATTTTTTTTTAATTCGCACACATTTCATCTTCATCACATGCGACCGTGGAATGGTTATACAGACCCTGGGCCATCAATTGGAGGGCTAGTGGGTTCTTTTGGCCAGATGCTTTTTTGATTTTTGCTCTTTTGTTTTGGAACCAGATTTTAATCTGTGCTTCATTCAAACCAAGTTCGGCACTTAACTGCTGTCTTCTCCTTTCTGTCAGATACCGATTTTCAGCAAATTCGTGTTTGAGCCTTGCCAATTGGGTACCACTAAATGCCGTTCGGGGCCTTTTCTCATCCGAGCTTGTATTGCCTGAGGAACTGGATTGAGATTTTTTCTGACGCCTCGATCGAGGTCCTGTAATAGAAGGAAAAATATACATTAATAAGAATGAAAACTATCAGTTCATGCTGGTTAAAATTACAATATATAATTTATTTTATTGATCGTGTGGCAAATTCACGGCATTGCGGTAAATCTATTGCTAACGCATATAATGAACTGTTAATTGGAACGCAACGCGTTTGCATTATTTATGGATAAAGTACTTCGTATCAGAAAACCACACATATACTCCTCGGCATAGCTTCCATAATTATTCGTATATTTATTTTATATCAATGAAATGGATTTTCATTACCAGACGCATCGAGATTTTTGCGTGGACATGCTTGAATAGATATTAATCCGTAGGTTATTGAATTATTTAAAATTTACATAAAGTAGTAATCTTGAAAGCAATTATTTGATCAAAGTATATTATTAAATCATTGGTATTGTTGCAAAAATTGGTATGGTGGACAGGTCTTCCGATTACATTTGACTAGTTAAATGGTTGGGATAGCAGAAGATTAAATCGAACTGTTTCAAATCCTTTTTTATCAAATCAACTTAGAAACCTATTTTCTTTGAGAAGCGAATGTTTTCCACATTATCGATCGTATTCATTCGTTCTTCAGTAAAATACTGATTACATATTAACAATAAAAGCATGAATGCATTGAATAATGGGCGGCGTGCATGCCGTGGCTACGCTGCTTAAGAATCGCATGCTACGACAGCGCTACGTAGCACTAATAATGCATAATATCTACGTTATTTTTCTACGTTATGGAATGAAAAAATACATCCTTATTTGGAAAATATTATATACTTATCAAATATTATGAAATGTTTGTCTAGAAAAATAATTATTAAAACGTAGCTTTAAACATTCAAAACAGGTATACCATTATTAAATTATATTTTTCTCAAGTTTATTTGCGTCACACAAAATAAGTGCTAATTGCCGACAATGTCCACATAATCACTTTCGGTAAATTGCATCATTTGCTCAATCCGAACATGGGACCTCATCCGCTCATATAGGTCGCGTTAATTATTTTCGATAATGTATCCACAAAACACGTGTCGACAAATATTGACAATCAATTATGATGAACGAAAACTTAGAAAAATTAAATGTAAAAAAGAGTTTTTTCGACTGAATGATCAGACATAGTTGTCAACAAAATCGATCATTATTACAGGCACATTGTTCTTTGTCAACTTGCATGGTATATACACAATGCAGATTTTTTTTAGAAAATAATGAAAATCTGTAATAAAAATAAAGTAAGAAAATATATAACTTCCCAGACATAGTTTTATATTTTGATTTTTTTTTTAATATCTGTATCTACTTCATTTAGAACATCAGCTAATTTTTGGTGGTACTTAGAATGTCTAATTCGAACGTCGACCCAGTGATTGGACGTCCGGGTGTGATATTTTGAAAAATGACGAAATATTTCCGCTCATCAAGATTGTTTTCGAGAATTGTTTTCCATGTCAAGTCTGTTTATATTATATCTCTAATCTGTATCAATTTCACACGAGGTTCTAAATGAGTGTTCATTAGGACATTGCGTTAGCTAACGACTCTTAACCGATCGTTCACGCGTATCAATAACGTTTTGATACGAGATACTATTATCGATCTAAACATGATAATTGATAGCATTGTATCTACGATGGAACAGCCATGATTTGCCATGCCGTTAATACAAATGAACTTTACTAAACGAAAGGTTATATGCTATCAGTTTGAAAACAAAGGACCAACGCCATGTGATTTGATCGAAACATTAATATCAAAAAGAGTCTTCCGCATTAAATGATACGAAGCGATTGATCAACTATCAAAGCTCTTGTAAATGGATTCCGGATTATTTCTCAACGAAAGTTATGCAATGAGTAATACAATGCAACGGAAATTTATATAATGTTTTATTATCCGTGTTTCGCTACATTTTTTTAAGGTATGATCCTTCCATTTGGTCGTAATTACAACCGATGCATGATTGCAGTGCCACGAATTATGTATTGTAGATCAAGAATGATTAGTAAACGCACAGGAAGTCGTTTATTTCCATCGGTTCCTACCGAAAAACGTATCCTAGCAATACTACTTGGCTTTCGTGACTGCCTTTAAAAAATTTTGGCCATTGTTATCATCGCGTGGACTATCATTAAATTTGGCGATTTTGCGAGATCCGATCAGCCATTCTATGAGAATTCTTAAGAAACAATTGACCATACAGCTAATGCGTTTCTGCATTTGCTCGTCATTTAGCAATTACCCAGCATGTTCGAGCAGACGAATATTATTTTGTATTATACATCTGTTACTTCGGATGTGACCACATTTCACTCATATTCAATTATCATCATTGTGATGTGATTGTTAGTTATATGTTATGTTATTTTTTGCAATGGTTTGCAATCGATGTTATCATTGCGGTCATACAGTTCGAGGAAGCGTTTATAAATTACGATTATAATGGATGAGAAAAATATTATTATAATATCCTATTATATAAATCGTATCGAAAAATTATTGCACTCTACATTTGACACAAACTATAGAACTATATTAGACGACTTATAAGTATGGGAGTCGTTTTTAGACGACTTCCAGTGAGTCGACTTTTGCTTCAAAATCACTCTGAGTTGAATTATTTAGAATTCTTATGCGAAAAAAATCAAAATACTGTGTATAACAAACACTTGAGTGGCATGCTGGCTCGTACAGCAGTGTCACTCCTGTGGAAGATGCCACCGCAGCAAAAGCGTTAAATGGGACAATAGTAAAAGTGTGTAAACGCGTTTAAAGTAATTTAATTAAGTTTATTGTCAAAATCCATAGAATTTTACCAATTTCTGTGTCCTGGACACAAAATTTCCAAGAGGATATTCATTTTGATACTGCTCATTTTCAATCTACAAACGATGGCATATTTCAATTTGTCAATTTCATCTTGTTATGTTGAAATACCAGAACTAGTTTATTCTTCGAGCGTATCATAATGCGTGTACTGATTGAAATATACATAGTGCCTCTTCTGCTCATCTCGACGATTGAGCCCAGTTATCGTGCATGTCAATCCACATGAAATAAGTAATGGCCGATGATGTACACGTCTTGTTGAAATTGTAAATAATTTCAAATCGAAATGTAAAGTCTTCCTTTTTAATGGGATAACTATTCTGGGATTGCAATGGTAATGGTCTTTGATTCGGAGTTTAATTTTAAATAGCTTCAGAAATCTTTGTAGAAAAATGACTGAATATTGAAAGATTGGACGTTGGTGAATCTAGTCGGATTCTAATGTGTCCAGTCTAATGAAAAGACTATTCTTATAGGACTGTGTAGTAGGTATCTACTACTTTGGATAAACCAACGAAAGCTTTCAAATGTTCAAGCAAAAATCTTACGCTGATTGTATTTCTAATATTGATCAAAGTTTGATATATTATTGCACGGTATCAAAATATATACTAGTAAATTTATAAAATGTTCAGTGTAGCGGAAAGAATAGCTCAGTCAGTAGCGTGACCAACTCATGCGCCAGCGATCCTCAGATCGATCCTTGGAAATGACGTGGAATTTGAAATTTTGGGTTAAAATTGAATGGTATTTGATTCGATGATGTGAAATTGCATAGAAATGTAATTTAAAAATAGTTAATTTGAAATTAAATAAAATATGAATTGTTGAGTTGAATTTGAATAAAAATAAAAGTAAGAAAAAAAGCAAGATTAGAATTAGAAATCAGATTTAGAAGAGAAAAAGATGAGATAAAGAAGAAAGAAATTAGTTGTAAATTCAATCAATTGCACGATTTTCTTTTCTTCTGTAATGTGTATATTTCAAATTATTGTTTGCTAATTTTTCCCCTTTCATGATTTTATTTTCAATTTCCATTTAAACATATGGTCTCAAAACTAAATGCTTTCTAGTTAAATAACACTTAATTTCAGAATTGCGGTTAATATGAGCGAGCTGACTACGAAACGACTACCGCTCTTTCCGCACGTGTGAATTTAAGATTTTTTATTAGCAACTTTAAATTATACGAAACCTATAGTTTAGTTACACATGTGTTTTACGATTAAAAACTTTGTGTATATATACATTAACTTTCGTATTAATAAAACTGAAACAAACTTGGAAATGTGAAAGCTGAAACCCGAGTAATGGTCTATTTCAATCAGTCGAAAATAATTGAGAGTAGAAAATGTTAATAAAAAAATCTGTTATAAATGAAATTTAAATGACTTGACAAGATATTTTTGCAGTATCGGAATATTTTATGTTTTTTTTTATTTTTGAAAAAAATGTTTTAACAACATTGTGAAAACTGTTTGTGGAGCAATTTAAGAATTGGATCAGCGTTTACAAAATTAATTAAATACATATATATTTCGCATTGAAAATATTTTGTGTGTTAATGAAAAAAATACGTCGGCTGTTTCTGATTTTATTTATTTTTATTTTTGCTATAAACTTTTTGTTCAATTGCCTTTTCCAATAAGAGTACTGCAATTTGTTAGGTAAGGACATTAGCAGGAGAATAATTTTAATATTGATCTGAGGCACGAAATATTAGCTTTCGACAAACCATTCTCAAAATTGATATCGGCGATGCACATCGTAACTCATCAAACCATTTTCAGATATTATCTTCTATAATTTGTGAGAAGGATAGGGTCGTCAAATTAGATGGCGTATGTTCCGAAAGCTAAGAGCTGCGACACATGCTCGACGAGTGACGTGATCTTCGGCAATCATTTTCAATGTGGAAAAGTCCATCGGATACAATTTGATTTATGCCATCGTGTTGCCCGTTAACACCGTCCTTTATCTGGTCGGACCATCGGCAGGGAACGATTTTATTGTTATTTTGACGGATATTAATCAGACACTAATGACAAAAGGCGACAACGACTGCTTGTGGACACATAAAAATATCAGGAATATTATATATATATATATATATATATATATATAATGGAAAATTATCAAAGAGCAAAATTATGACCAAAAGTTGTGCCCATAAAACACAACTCATAGCAAACACTGTAAATAATTGAAGCATTCCATTAACTAAGTAATCTAATTTTATCCACATTGGTAGAGAATTAATTATCTCTAAATCATTTCCAATTCGAAATTCTAACAGACATCAATGTCCTGAATTGTTATCAGATTCTTTCAAGCTATTGTCTTCACTCTCCTAGTCAAGGAAACAAAAAACGAGTTCCCTCAATTTATATTCCTATTGTTTTAAAAACGATAAAGTCAACAAATGTTCCTTTCATCAGAATATAAAAGATAATAAAAACACTATTAATTCAGAGAGTATCATTTGCTTCCGTATATAGGCGCCATCAAATCCCGTTCTTTACTTGCATTAAACTGTCGTCAATCAAATTACTTCGTTCACTTTGAATATATAGAGTAGTTGTTGATGAATTATTTGCGTTTGACAAATATGTTCGAGGGAATAATTTTTTATAAAGGGCTTACATATGATAATAATGGGCAGAGTTCAACTCTAAGAATAGTGTGGGAGATTTCCCATTGCCATCGTAGTGCTCTGACCTGGGATATTTTCATTTAAAAACATATTTTTAGGTAAAAAATTTTAACACTACTGCATGATATCAGGTTATCCAGAGCTAGGTTCGAACTCACGACCCTGTCCAGACATGGCAACGCGCTTAACCCTTACGCCGTGAAAATTCTGGTTTTTAATGTAAACTTTTGCGAGTAAAAAACCAGGTCATTTGTGAGAACCGTTGATTGCATGGTATTGAAGCAGGCGCAATTTTAAGAATTTTAAAGTTTGATAATAATAAAAATGTTAACAATTAAAATAGGTGGGATAAATAAGTTATGTCACATACAAATTCAATTGCTTATTTTAATTAGCTTTAATTAATTAATTAAAGCTAATTAAAATTAATTAGCTTAGATTCTTTTCTATTCTAGATAAAATAGATTTCTCTCAAATACTAATTTTAGTTCCAAGCAAACAAAAAGTGAAAAGTCCATGCAAATTCTCTATGGATCTATGTGTTGCAATTATTTTTATCAGCTACTGGAATTTATCAGAACAAGTTGGTTAATTAAGTGTTTATGATGTTAGTTATTAAAACGAGGCAATATCCGTTGCTCTCGCAATCTTTTGCAGGCTAGTATTTTTTTTTAGATCGGTTATATAACGTTTTGGATAAAAAGATAGAAGTTCATCTAGCTTTGAAAGAAAATTGTACCAATATAAACGTACAGCAAATAGGCAACATCAGATAACATAGTGTAAAAAAGTAAAATTGTTTGATATAATTTTGGTTCAGTTGACCGCCATATTATTCATTTTAAGCACAGTATAACAATTTGCTACAATCAAATATATGATCGAGCATAGAATGCGTACAATCAAAGTACAACAAGAAGGATCGATCGAAAATGATCAAATTACGAGAAGATACAATCAAACAGCTCGTTGGTTTTAGATTAGCCATGCTTCTCGTACATACATGTAGTATCATACTGTACTTGATTCAAGTATAGTTTTAGGTGATTTGTTATAGAAAGTCTGATAAATTATTGGCCCAATGATAAAATTGCTTCCCAAACTCCTGACATAATTTTTTTAATCCTGTACATTTTTGTAAGAATTCCATAAAATCGACCTTGCCAAAGCTATTAACGCAAAGTTTCTAATTAACCAAGAAGAGTTGTTGTCGTACCTGTCCATTTAACTCCTGATAAGATTTGTCGCACATGAAATGTAATAAACACAAATGTACCTAGCTGGCTGGGTTGTTAGCCCCTTAACCTGTCAAAGGAATTGGTCACGGCTTACCCTCTGCGTATCCGGTCTCGGCATTAATGTACCGCATCGCTATGAATAGTGTGGTCCATAGGAAAATCGAACTTTTTCAAAATATTTTCTTAAAAATTTTATGGGCTTGTGATACTTAATAAATTTCTAGTGATAAGATACACCATCTTATTTTACAATTTTTGATAATAAATTATTTTATAAGTTATATACCCTACAAATATGAGCATCTGTTATGTTTTCAAAACTGAATCAACTCTGAGCCAAAAAAAAAACAAACAAATAATGTTAAACTTTTTTTGTATCAATGAAATGTTCGCACTTCAAAATGTTATTTTAGGTTGAAAATTTTAGTGAAGGTATAAATATTGACTTTATCTGTCTTGTCAACGTTAATTAATTAGAATTTATGAGTCACCTCACAAAAAAGTTATAATAATTTTGTAAAATATCGAAAAATATGGAATGTGACCTGAAAGTAACGCGGGCCTATAAGGTTAACCCTCATACAGCAAAAAATGATTTTGACTGTCTATTTCACATTATACTCAAATTCTGATTTAATTCTTGCAGACATAATGCTAGATTCAAAGATTTTATTTTTATATTAAATAGTAATAACATTCTTCCTAGTTACTTTCAAGAACAAATTCTGGCAATTTTTTTTTTCACTTATTAATTTGTTAATCAATCTTATGAAGCGTTATAATACAAAATTGCTAAGTGGACAACTAAATAAAATAAAATTCATGAACACAGATTAAATAAAAATTTAAAAAAAAATGAGTAAAAAATAAAAATAAAATGTGACTTGGTGAAATGTGCTGCCGACAAAATCTGAAACCTGAATCGATCGATAAATCGATTTTCTTATGATTACACTAACTTTTCTGTATTTGACTGTGCTTGTGAAGTTTGCAACAGTATTCCTAAATATTTCAACATATCTTATTCCGGTAAAATATTGGTATTCATGATTTTGAATTAAAAGAAATATAATCATTATACAAATAAAAAGATATTAAAAGATGTAGAGCAGAAACAACTTGAGATGAAAATATTGCTTTTTTAGAAATGACATATAAATGTGCTTATATACATGTAATACAAGGGCAGCTTTAAAGTAATATTTTATATTTGTTTACATGTTATTTGTAACAGAGTGAGTTTTACAATTTTTTTATTTGTCTGATTTTTTCACCAAGCCAATATTGAGAACCCTTGGTCTAACAACTGAGAACGTACCAGCGAGTTCCTTCTAAAGCGTGTATAATTGGAGAAAAGTTAATTCTTTACGCTCTCCGACAGATATGTCAAAATATTTTGTAGAGACTCGACCGAAAAAGATCCAAACAAATGCTTAAGTATGGTTAATATGTTTATACTTTACGGTCGAATAGTCCAGGATCTCCTTACAAAATAATTCTCTTGTATTATATTTTCTCTCCGTCACCGTTGAGGATATTAATTATCAGAAACGATGATGCTGTTACGGTCGAACAGATCACAGGATTAAATTATTAATGAGATTCAAGTCATGTTTAGGATGAATAACAATTGACGTAATTGTCTTGTTTAGTGAAACGTCCTGTACGGACGAGGTATTAGTTGCGGATTACGCGCTTACCTACCGCAAACTGATGATCCTTGGCAAAATACAATCCTTGGGAATTATTACTATAAAAATTGCGAATATTCCTAATTCATATCATTTAACACGTTAATCGCCACGATAATATCATAAAAAAATTTACATGGGTATTAACGTGTTAAAATGTATTTCTTACCTAATATGCAAATTTTACATATTTTTCAATTTGATAACTGCTTTTTGTCGGTTGCTCATATTCGGCAAATGATATAGAATGACGGTTCTATTTTCTAATTTACTGAAGCAGAAAATACTTTTTGCGCATTCCACATTAGAAAATTTCCCTAACAATAATTTCTATAATTATATCACAGACGTACAGTAACTGAGCCTAGCATTTCCATGTCATGACGAATTCGCATTTACACGATATGCTAATTCGACCAAGAAACCGTAGTGTTATAGACGATTTATATATATATATATATATATATATATATATATATATATATGATTTATATTATGGGGAACACATAACATTTAATTACAATTAAATTATACACTTTGATAATACTATTAGAAAAGGGTTATAATTGCTCAATAATAAATTACTATGCTATTTTGCAAATATTTTCATTTTGTGTTTGCTATTTTTCAGCACACACGATTCACTAGCATTTAACCCTTTCGCTACGGATATGATGGTCCATGGACGACATCCACATAACGTTGTGTATCAGGATGTGTTGTGTGTGCCTTTGCTTCAAGATTCATCACTATAGTTTAAGTATTGAGAATTATAGTCTAGTTGATTAGAAGCGTATTTTTTAATTTTTAAATAGTGCAATTGAGCGGCACGCTGTTTCGTACAGCAGCGACACACCTGCGGAAGGCATTTCCGTAGCGAAAGGGTTAATAGTGGTTTAATTTTGAGAACTTCCAAAGAAAGTTTTCATCACTAACACGACGCATCAGTACATATATGTTAAGCTTGCAATTTATTCATTCTAGGATATACAGACATATGTGTGTGTGCCCTATGTGTATTTGTTTATTTATTTACATGTCCATGCGACGTTTATTTATAATTGTGGACGGATTGGCCAGAGTACGTGCATTGTACTTGTATGATTTTACGTTCCAATGGCTTTTCCGAACATCATAATGGGGTTCGCATAGACGACGGCGAAGAACTAACTCTCACAAAAGCATAAATAAATTTCATAAACCTGCATTTCTTACTCTCTGTATAGGTTATACCTTAGCAACAGACATCAGATTTTTACAGTTTTATTTATATACGTTAATATTTCTTTATGTACTTCGTGTAAAGTTTATATCGTTTATATCGTGTTTTCCGTAGGGACTTCGTTCCGATGTTCAACCGACTGCGAACTGTCGGCTTGCGCTCCTTCCTCATCGGGTGAGCGATCGCGAATTTCGCAAAATAAACATTTTGTATCAGACAATAATACTTCGTCGGCGGAAGACAATATCTCTATCGAAGAGCTCTATTCGTCTTGCGGTTCTTGTAAGTTGTTTGATTAATATCATCATAAAGTACATATTATTCATATCTGTAATTGGCAAGATAGGATTATGCACCGTGCTCTAGAAGTATCACGTTTCCTGACACGAATAGCTCTATCTATACATTTTATGCTATAATAGATATTGTTTAATTGTTTCAAATTTTAGATATTTTACCAAATAAATAATCATGTTTATTTCGTTAGATGACACAAAGCCTAATTCAATAACGTTGTCAAGACCACCAATATCAATATTTATGACCTTGCTAGAGTTTTCAATCTAAAATAACATTTTCATACAAGTGTTAACATTAACTAACATTATAGGTCGCTATGATTTGAATGTCACATAATTCATTGATACCAGAAAATTGGTTTAAACAGATTATATTGTTTTTCATTTACATGTATTGGCTCATAATAACTGATTTTTCCCCCTATTTTTTGCGCAAAAAAAGTTCGACCCATATAAAGTCCAAATATAAATAATCCATAATGAAAATTCGTAAGTCCGTACGTTAAAGTTTTATGTTTTTATAATATATACTTTTTAAGGTAAAATAAAGCTCAGCATGCTATTTAGTACCCAGCAATCATTAATATATAATTTAATTAATTTTGTTAATCATTGGCAAAAAAAAAACAGATCAAGAATATTTCTTCCAATTTTGTTAAATTTTCATTCCTTCTATATTATATTGAAATCTCATTGGATTTTTTTTTCAAATGAAGTGTACAAGTGATTAAACATTTCATTCATCAAAAAATTAAAATTAAGTAGTATTTATTCTTTTAAATTCGTTTTTCAACCGATTCAACCTAAATTTCAATAACCATGAATCCTTTCTCGTCCTTGTCTCATCTATCCCCGTCATTCATATGAATTTTATCTGCATCCTTGCGTAACCCACAATACACAGCTCTATCAAACCGCTATCGAAATTATTGTTGTGGTGTTTATTTACTAATTTATTAGCTCGATCTAGAAAGTTGTACCCATATACTCTGTCTGGCAATGCACAACAATCGATTTTAATCCGCCGTGTTGCTAGAGTACTACAAAAACTCTAGTTGTAACAACGGTAAACGACCCGGGCTATAAGATAGCTAAGCGATATACAAGAACATCGAAAATATATCAGTAGATAATATATAGGGTAGGGGCACAAAGGTCCAATTTGACTTT